CATGTAGCTCTTTTCAAGCAATAAAGTGAACTTTGGATTTGAATTGAATAATGCTAGCCACTACTGCTAATGGGTGGCTAGGATCAAGTTTAACCAGATACACTACAGTGTGGCTAATAATAAATAGGACCCACTAAGTGTTAATGTGTTTCATCCTTAGACTCAGCAGCAAAATTGTAGTATCATACATAATGAAATTAATTATTATAAGCACATGAATATTGTGAATTACAGAGGCGTATTTAGGGGGGGCTGAGGGGGCTTGAGCACCCCCTCAGGGCTGGGCTCAGAAAAAATTACTGAAGTCCTGGACTCTTGCATCACTACCTAGCCTCTTAACAAAGTTATCTAGCCCCCTGATCATAATTTCAGCAGTTTCCAGTGCTTTAAGAAGCAATCAGAAGTACCAGTAACATAGCAGTATGCTTGAAATGATCTTGGCCCCACCCGTAATTGACGAAAATGCAGGAAAAGGCCATTTTACTGCCGTAAAAGTGGGTGTGTCCAAAATCGCGGCGCGCTTCGCGCCCTTAGCACCCCCTTTCCCAATTCCTAGATACGCCCCTGAATTAGATATTAAACACACACACACTCATCAATGGTATACCTTCTTGTTAAGTAGATACTTGTAAATGTGTCTACAGAAAGGAAGAGACATCATCTCTGAATGTAACAATGCCAAACCAATACCAATAACCCTGAGAGAGAGGGAGACGGAGGGAAAGAGAAAGAGAGAGGGATGATGTTAATAAAGTGCTAGAAAGGAGAGAAGTGAACATGTACAGTACAAGAGAGAGAGAAAGCAAAGAAGGAGAAACAGGTACATGTACATTCACTTGCCTCCCTATATATATTTCTGCAAGCATTAAGTCTACTGTCTACAGTATTTTAGAATTAATACATGTAGTTTCATCTTCCTTTCCTTGCTTACATGTACATGCATGTAGCATTTTTTTAATTTGTACACAATTAAGCGATACAGTAACTCCAGTACTGCTAGGAAAGACTGTATACTGTTCCACCAATGTGTATGAAAAGATTACTTTACGATTGACTGCAATATTTATTTGTTGAAAAACCATAATTATTTTAAATCAGAGTTTGTTCAGTATCTGTTATTCATTGAATTACAGAATTTACATTATCATTGTTTTATTCATTAGGAGCAGCTTGATATCAGTAACCTACCTCAATGGAAGCCACTTCTCTACACTATAGCATTCCTCCACACTACAGTACAGGAGAGGAGGAAGTATGGACCACTGGGTTGAAATATACCCTATGAGTTCCACCAGGTAATGCCAGTACACAATATATATAGAACCTACTTGATGACATGGACTTGAAGAAGGTATTTCAACTAGTATTGGTATTATGATATATGTACATGTATAGGGTCCTTCATAGAGTGCTGTACGGTACATGATTGGTGAGACACAGTATAAAGGAAGAGTCACAGATGATTATGACAAGCACTTACTGAACACTTATGCTAAAGTAAGTATCTACTTTACTGCAGTCATTAAACAGTACTGGTGGTAGACTATTGTCATGATCGACTTGCTGCTTGTAGAGAGAGCTAATGATATCAAAATAATATATGCATGTACAATAATTATTTTTGATGTTTTCTTGCAATGAAGACTATAGTGTTTCATGGACTTATAATGCATTAACTCTGTCCTCATTATTTTCCTTCTCTTGTTCATGTAGCTTTGGTTTGGTGAGCACATGTTCCAGCAAAACTTTAGATTCTGTAATTGTGATTTGTGAAGTGTTTCTAATCCCAGTGTTCAAGACAGTCCAGGATTACATCAGTTACATTGATTCCCTTCCCATGGTCATCACTCCTGAAGTTTTTGGAATGCATCCTAATGCTGACATCACGTGAGTTTATGTTAGCAATACTTCATGACAACTTACTGTAGCTATTAACTGAAATTTTTTCATTCAATAATCATTCATTCCTCAAAATAAGTCTTGCTTTTTTAATCCATTATAATAGTTTGTTTACTTTTAGTTATCAGAGCAGTACAGCTAAGAGTTGTCTTGATACAATAATGGAGATACAACCAAAGGACAGCAGCAGTGGAGGAGGAGAGACCAGGGAATCAATAGTGAGGAGACAAGCTGGAGAAATGTTGGACAAACTACCAGGAGACTATATACCTCATGAAGTAAGGAGTAGTGCATCACATGTACCTTAACAATAGGAGATATCATGTAATTTTGTGACATAATTTATTTTCATGTTGCCCTACATGTACGTGAAAGTTTGTGCATGTATTTATTAATTTTATGCTCAAAAAGTGGACCATGTACCATAACAGGGTCTTCAATTTTGTCTATAATATGTGACCATAATTGACAAAAGGTACCTTATGGTGGGTAATGAAATTTGTCTTTATAGTGAAAAAACCCAACTTCCTGAGCTCTATTTATCATAAAATTACTCCACAGGATGCAAAAAGTTACTATGTAAACTTTAGAAACAATGATTGTCGAACTGAGCACTTACTGGTTGATATTTTCCATAATAATGATGAATTTTAAAATCCGCCATAAGGTACCTTTTGTCAATTATGGTCACATATCTTATTATTATTGTTATTGCTTTTCTTATCTCAGTTTAATATATTTACATGTGCATGTACATGTATCTACAATTTCCCAAATATTCCAATATTCCCAGGATTTGTCATTTTAAGTTTTAATTTAGGCAATTTTTTGTCCTGCACAGAAATAAACCTCCATGCTTTTATTTGAACATTTACAGTAGGTTGTTGGTTTTTATGTTAGTTTTTTATAGTTTCTGAAAGACTGGATGGTAGCATGGAGGAAGTGGGTGGAGGAGGAGCTGAGGTATCATCATCAGGGGAATTGTGTCCGTTATTCCATGAGCCTGGGAAACCTGGTTTCTATTCCATCAAACTTTCCATCAAGACTTAATGCTTACAGGAATATAGGGAGGCAAGTGAATGTACATGTACCTGTTCCTCCTTCTTTGCTTTCTCTCTCTCTTGTACTGTACATGTTCACTTCTCTCCTTTCTAGCACTTTATTAACATCATCCCTCTCTCTTTCTCTTTCCCTCCCTCTCCCTCTTTCTCAGGGTTATTGGTTTGGCATTGTTACATTCAGAGATGATGTCTCTTCCTTTCTGTAGACACATTTACAAGTATCTACTTAACAAGAAGGTATACCATTGATGAGTGTGTGTGTGTGTGTTTAATATCTAATTCACAATATTCATGTTCTTGTAATAATTAATTTCATTATGTATGATACTACAATTTTGCTGCTGAGTCTAAGGATGAAACACATTAACACTTAGTGGGTCCTATTTATTATTAGCCACACTGTAGTGTATCTGGTTAAACTTGATCCTAGCCACCCATTAGCAGTAGTGGCTTCAATTCAAATCCAAAGTTCACTTTATTGCTTGAAAAGAGCTACATGTACCTCCTGATAAGAGCTTTTTTATTGGCCAAAGGTTTTAATAGGAACATGTAATTTTGTTATTGAGAGTCCATGAGGGTATGATTTAATGTGTGGTATGTTAAGTGTGTGTGTGGTAATTGTGTGTGTTTATTTGACATAATGTAATGAGATGATGTAATGGTGTACACTCTGACCTTTCATTCATAATGATTGTTTGATGGTGTTAATCAATTAATGTAATGATTGGTTACTGTCACTACTGAATACAAGTAATTTCTTTAAACAAATTAATAACTTCTAATGAAAAATCACAGCTGCTAGAGTAGGGTAAACACTTGAAGACAATAATAGCAAAACGATGCAGATTAGGTCAGCGTAGTCGTGTTAACAAGGTGTTTGATTTTTTTTACAAATTTTAAACTTGCTCCAAAACTTGGTAAAATGTGTATACATTGTCATGAGGTAAAATTCTCAAATATTAAAAAGACGTATCTCTACATTTTATTACACTATGATGCAAATACATGTACTTATACTTATGTTGTGTAGAAGTTTGAGCTGATCCCTCTATTCAAAAGTGAATTTTTATAATTTTGTAAAGTTGTTACAAATTTAAATAAAAGTCCGTGTACTATATATACATGTTGTACAGGATCACGAGCCAGATTTTTCCTAAAAATTCATTAAATAATGTACATTAAATTCATATACATTAAATGATCCCTTTTTTCAGAGGCTGTACAAGCAGGGAAGAGAGAGAAAGTCACAAAGATATCAGCTGAACTAGAAAAAGTAAATCCTTTTCTCTCTTTCTTCTCTATAAAGTGACATATACATGTACCTCTTCATTTCCCTGTCTTATTGTTCTATTTTGTATCTCCTCTCTCTCTCTCTCCCTCTCTATAAGTCATGTCATCCTTTAAAATTTTATAGTACAGTACATGTACTTGTTATTAATAACTTTAATTATTATCGTAGATGTTTTATGAATGAGAAGTGATTCTGTTGGTGCCATGACAAGTTCATGTAGGCTCTGATGAGGACTTCATAGATGGACAATTATTATTATTATTATTATTATTATTATTGTTATTATTGATTGTTGTTGTTTTTGAATATATTTTTTTAAAATACAGTTGAGTATTCTGCCAGCTTTCACAATCCACTATCTACTTCCTTTTCTTGCTCTTCCAGTTCAGTAATGCTCTTTCAGCAGCTAATAGATTAACAACAATGATACATAGAATGATTGTAGTATTGATGAGAAGTGAGTGATAGTCATTAAAAAGGACTGGTGGTGAGTGCATACCATATCCTACATTATCTGATACATTACACCAGATCCATTGATGAATACACAAGATAAAAGTATCAATCTTTTAATGTTACACTAGCAGTCATTACATTGTCTATTGTCTCACAAGTGGTCAAGTCAATGAGATTGATATGATTAACGGGTTGTTGAAGAAGGACCTCCTCACAGGATTGACCCTTTACACTCCTAGATACACCACATGTATACACATGGGTAGATCTAATGAGTAAAGTTGCTGCACTGCATGTATCTAATGGAGCAAACGCATGATTTGACTATTAGCTTTTTATGGAAACTTGAAATAGAAATCGCTGACAAAAATTATAACAATAAGTATTATTATTATACTATAATAATAAACAAAAGAAAATAGAGCTAAAAGAGGAAGAGAAGAAAGTGTATGTATGAGAAAACAGAGGAATAAGAAAATCATTTTTACTGTTATTGTTTACATGTAGGCAGACGCTTTATTTCAGCAGCAACATCGTTTCTTCCCAATTCCTGGAGTGCTTTTATCAGCTTTTTCCTCGTAGCAGTACCAGTTTTTAACCAGTGAACTATCATGTCTTTACGGGATACATCTATTTGATAGAAACTCTTTGAATGAATTAGCTTCAATTCTTTATTTTCAATTCCAAGATATAGTCCTAATGTCTCCCATTCATTGACTATGCTATTGATAGCTTTCAGTATAACAGGAGCATGAGACTCATCTGTAAATAAATACACACATTATCTATTAATAGTAATACTAACACATTCACTCACTTAATACAGAACCTGCTGGTAAAGAGTTGTCAATAGGAATAACTGATGGAGCAACTTGAT